TAGGGAAAGGAACTGTTCCTTTTTTTTTTTTTATGGATGTAAAACATAGTTTTATACTATAGGGCCCAAACCCCCACAAAGGCTGAGGGCCTAAGCGAGCAGGTTCAGAAATGGAATATTTGAAGTGGAGTGGAGGTTAGAAATGGACACTGGTCCTGTGGAATCCTCTTGGTTGTACCTTACACAAAGCATCTCACACATTCAGCTCAGTCTCAGTCACAGCTTCTACCAGTCTGGTCTGTATCTCTGTAAGTGATGCTCAGTTACTGAGCTCTGTCACACAGAAACCTTACCTGTAGCATGGGAAATCTGTATATACATTTGGAAGAGAATGGTATTTCAAGGTGTATTTTCCTTTCCATATGGTTGAACACCAACCTCTTGGATCTTTCTCATAATCTTGCTCACAAATTTTAACCACTAGGTGTTGATATCTAAGTGACTTGAGTGCTTGGTATTTCAGAAAGCTCTCTTTTGGTTTATATGCCATTTGTACTTAAAAGCTAATAGAATGGCCCATCATTGATCAGAAAATCCATGTGTTTACAATATTTTAGAAATAAAATATTGCAAGTGGAATGATAACCAGGTTAGATCAAATGCAGACAAGCCAACAGGGTTTTAGCCTTTTAGTGCAGAGATTCTGACTGCCATTTTCCTAGCCTTCAGAAGAGAAAAACTTCACAATATGCAACGAATGCAGTGCCAATGGCTGAGAAACCACAACAGCATCAGAGGTGTGAAAACGATTCTGAAGGTGACCCAGATGTTTCGAGAGATAAACACATTCTAGAAAAGTTTAAGTTATCAAAACACAGGCAGAAGTAAAAATATTCACTGTTCTACAGAGTGAAGGGCATAGAGCATCTCTTCTCTGTTTCAGAACCAGGTATCATTTGGGGGCCATGACAATGTTGGGGTTTTTTTTTCCTGCCATTTAGGAGTTTTACAAAGTGCAAAAGCTTCCATAACAAGTAAGACTGATAGTCAAATATGACTGGGCTTCCCCTTAAAGCTCAGATCCTGCAAAGCACGTGAACACATAGAAAAGATGAAATAAATATGAGGATACTCATGTGCTTAAGATCATACCATAATCACACTATTCACTGATTTAGGCCAAGTTGCCCTTTCTATCATTTCTTAAGTTTCCCCTAAGATCTATGGGTTTGGACAGCTCTGGAGACAGGAAATTAATAGTGAATATTTTCTGTTATTACTCAGCAGGGCAATTTCTGTTTCCCAGCTCCTCTAGATGGCTTTTAAAATAATATTTTTAAGAAGCAAATGTTTCAAACAGCCCCAAAGAGATTTTACATTGCCAAATGCTTGTGAAAGAAGGAAGTGAAATAGGGAAATCTTTGCTTATCAAACAGAAAAGAAATCACTTGCTGTAAGTTACTTACTTTTGTCACATTAAGTGTTGCTTTTGGATAACACCCACACAGGAAGTACAACAAAAGCATATTACACCTTCTCATTTACAACATTTTTCAGCTGCATGCTCTTTTTGAAGACCCAGTGCATCACTTAACTTCTGGACTCTGTATATACTTTTAAAACATGTAACTGTATCAGTACCAGCTGAAATTGGGCAGTTTCAGCATAAAATGACAAATATATGCATTTATTTTCAAAGGGATGGGCAGCTGCAGGCCGTAACTTCTAGACAGGCTGGCTGTTTTCTGCTTTCCTTCTGGAATACCTTTATGAAAATATTTTTACATTTTATTGTGCTCTTGACAAGAACTTTCCTTTGGTCCTTAAGACACCTTTCCTTTGGGAAGTTACTTTGTGTGCTTGGCCTGGATACCAGGCAGGGCACGTGTCCTGACCAGCCCTGCAGGAGCTCAACCCCTCAACGTGCAGCAGCACGCTGGCGAGCTCTCTGAGAGGCAAGCCCAAAAGCAGCCTGATCCCTTGCAGAGTTCTGTCCTCCAGCATGGATCTTTCCAAGCAGCTCCCCAGGGAAGAGGTGGAGTTTAGAGATTGGAGGCCCAGTGGCTCAGCAGCTTATCAAGTTTCTGTCACTTCACGGAGAAGGGCCCACACTTCAGCAAAGGAGAAGCCACATTTCAGCTGCTGCAGTGAGCTGTGATCCACGTTCAATGAGGCAACAGAAAACAGGACATTTGGTAGCACTACTGCTGCATTCAGGACCCTGTGTACAGTGTAACATTTTGTATTATACAGTCCATTAAAGTTGGTTAACTTTGCTGTGTCAGACTGCTTGATCCATGCCCCCCTTGAACCTCCTTTTTTTTTTTAGAATAGCCTAGAAGAATGAAAAAGGAAGAGATATTCCTTTCCCTAACAGGTTGCTGTGATGCTGAAAGAGCAGGCAGAACAAGTTCAGGGTTTTACAACTGGATTAAGAACCAGCATCATCAAATAACACAGGACCATCAAGATACTTCAGGATTCTTCACTGTTTGTCACTAATAATCTAATAGTAAATATGCTACTTTGGTTGTGATTACATTTGGTTCTGTTTATTTTTACAGATGGGAAGAGTGCTCTCACATAATTGACTCTGAACCCAGGAGATTAGGTGTTTTAAAAGTAATCAGCATACAAAGGAATTTGTAGCATGTTTAGGGTCTGTCCTAGGGATGGCAAAGCCAGCACCTAACAATTACAGAACGTGTGTGCACACACTTCCCTTCAGTTCTTAAGCTTATGGTGCCACCGTGTGCCCACACTGTAAGGGTTCATGCCACCAAACACACCACCACACTACCTGCTTATGGTGCTTTCCTCCTCCAAACCATTTCTTTTTCTAAAAGGACCTTCTATCAAAACGATGACCCCCACTAAGGGCAGCATCGATGCCATGCAACCAGCAGCAAACCTCAGAGAGCACTCGTGGTCACCGAGGGTGCAGAGGTCCGTCGGACGAGTGGGCACAGCCACACTTCCATGGTTCAGGTGGTGTGACACGGGACAACTGGGGCTTATTTTAGTTCCTACACAAGCTTTGCATGAGGTCATGTTGTCCTGATTCCAGCCATCTGCTTTTACAAGAGAGCATCTGACGCTCTCATCCACAGCTTGGAAGTTAAGAGAATAAAATTACATTCTCTGTTGTATTTCCTTTGGAAAGATGGTAAGGACTGTAACTTGGAGGGAAACGGGATACTCACACCTCCAGCTCCTCCTGGCCCCTGGCACACAGTACAGGCACACAAGACAGTTGAGGTTGGAAGGGACCTCTGGAGATCATCGCGTCCAGCCCCCTGCTCCAGCAGGTCACCCACAGCAGGGTGCCCGGGATGGCGTCCAGGTGGGTTTGGAATCGCCCCAGAGAAGGTGGTCAGCAGCACCAACGCCCCAAGCCTGCTCCAGGTGGGCCCCTCGATGGACTCTGAGGTTTTTTGGAGAGCAGGTGCCAGACACGGGGCACGCCCGGACTAGGGGAGCAGCCTGTCC